GCAGCAGGAGTAGTCGTAGTAGTAGTCGTAGTAGTAGTAGTAGTAGTAGTAGTAGTAGGAGGAGGAGGAGGAGGAGGAGGAGTAGTGGCAGCAGCAGTTTGTTTTGGTTGTGGGTGTGGCCATAGTCGTCCTCCTGCTCCTGCTCCTTCTCCTGTTCGTGGTCGCTGTCGTGTTGATGGTGGTTCTGATGCTCGTGCCCGCGCTCGTGCTCGTGCTGGAGCTGGTGGTTTTGGTTGTGGTTGTGGTTGTCTTGTTGTTGTGGCCGTTCTTCTTGTCGTTGTTGGTGGTGGCTGTGGTGGTGGTGGTGGCGGTGGTGTTGTTGTGGTAGTGGTTGTCATAGCAGCAAGAGTAGTGATACAGCAGTGATCGCCACATTGGGGACTACAGTTAATGACAACAGAAATAGCTGAAATACGTACTTCATTCAGGATCTTGGGCCAAAGCCCTAGATCCGAAATGGGTCTGAAAGCCCAAACTCCAGGTCCTACAAGTCCTACACCGTAAAATCCATACCCTAGACCTGAAGCCGTTGGGTGTTGACTTCAGGATTCAGAGGTTTGAGTATTTGCTTGAACACTCGAGTGTCCAATTCAGAGTTCAGTGCATGCGGTCCAGTCTGTGCTTGGGGTTCGACGCATCCTCGCGATATTCTGGCAAGATGTTTTAAAGTCCATCGGGCGCAGAATTCCGCCTCGGGGGTTTCCAGCATTCGCAGGGAAGCGTGCCAGATTTTCTGGCCAGCTGCAACTCATTCTAGGGTTCACGGCTTCAGGGCATCCGGCATTAAGCTTTTCGGATCTTTTACGCCCCTGACTATGTGAATCTCTTCTGGTATCTGCTCGTTTGGCTCCACTTCTTCGGGCCGCCTCGCCATGCCTCGCCGTTCAGAAACAGTATCCTTGGCTGCAAACACACAGGCTTCAGAAGTATGGCGAATGTCATGTCGGTGCGACTGCAACAACTAACTAGTCTATGGTGCTCACTTTTCCAAATCGTGAGTACCCAGAAATCTGTTGAAAAAACCGCGCTGGCAATCTCGTGTAGCTGCAATGAAGAAAGCAGTCGAGGCATGATCGTGTAAGTCCATCAGCTCTTTCGCACCACACCTGCGGCTGTTGGATGTATTACATCAATTATCCTGGCCAGAATCCTATGCATGTAGCAGCTTCGGCATGTTTTCTGAAACGTGACAGTGAGAGGGACAACTGACATGTGTGTGCTAGCCAGCCTAGACTTCATGTTAGAAATATCCATTGCCGTGGTCGACGTCGTCATGATCATCATGGGCATCGCAAGTATCGGAAAATCCATGACCATAAGTTGGACCACAAAAATCATCATCATCATTATCATAAGCGTCATCTTTTACCTCGTCGTCGTCACCAACCTCATCACGAGCATCATCCTTTACCGTACTAGCGGGGCAAAGTCCTCCGGGCCTCACGATTCTGGCGTGCAAGCCATCAGAGTCAGAAACGGAAGCTACCAAATCGACTCAGGTGCTGCGAGGGCCTGGCCCAGCCCTGGGTCTGCAAGGAACATGGCAGGCCGCCCCCGTGTTAATCAGGGCTGCCAACACGTGACGTCAGTGACATTTGGACACCCGAAGAAGAAGCTGATGTTGTGTCTGCTGCCGCGGAGGGCGTGTCGTTTGTCTTTTTGAGTTTTTTTGTCAAGAGCCTGAAAACCTCGAGTTTTGTGGATTTCGTGAATAAAAGGATGTTTTGCACCTTGGTGGCTCAATGTTTTTTGTTCTCTTTCCAGTGTTTTTTTATCGGAAGCACAGTAAATGCCTTGGTTATCGTTGTGTTTTGCTTGAGTTTTGCATCCGTTGTTTGAATGTTTCTGTTTGGAAAGTCCGCGTAACAGGAAACAACCGCAACAGGGAGCAACATTGCCATTGTCAGTGTGATCATCATAGTTATTGTCATCGCAATCGTTATCCTCTGCATGATCATGTTCATCGTAATCATCATACCAACATCTTCGTAATCAGGAGCATCAACACCATGAAATCAGCATCCGCATCATCATCATCATCATCATCATGATTGTCATCATCCTCGCCTTCGTCATCACGGTCAAGCCAGTCTGCTTTAGGAATGCAGCTTTGAATCTGGAGCTGGCGGGGTTCTTGGTAAAAATAGCGAAAACCACGGTATTTGCGACGCTTCCGCAAAACCACAAATGCACGGAACAAAAAAGAAAGCATTAGATGCAACCCGCATTCGGGTGGACGTTATCACCCTCCCCTCCCCACATTTGCACAGAAGCAAAAAGAAAGACAGACACAGCAAGTCATAGCAAGTCCAAAGAAGCCAGCAGCCGATTTGCAAGCAACAAGCGGAAACGGAGAAGCCACGGAGGACTGCAAATAGCATAGAAGTCCAAGCTGCCATGTGCGAAAAGTCGAGGTTTGGCACAGCGCAGCCCTGAAATCGAACCTGTTTCTTTTTCAAGAAAATACCGTAAGAACCAATGTGAAATGCAAAACGCAGATTTTTGTCTAGACGGCCATGTGCCAAAATTCGAGTATTAGCACAATACAGCCCTGAAATCGCTCCACCCTCCGCGGCGGCAAACGCAACAGCTGACAACAACAACGACAAAGGCGACAGCGACAACAGCAGCAGCACCACCACCAGCACCAGCAGCAACGGCAACGGCAGCGGCAACAGCACCACCACCACCAAAAACAACACGGTAGTTGCAAGGGGAGGAGGAGGCGGAGGAGGAGTAGAAAGAGGAGGAGTGGCAGCGGCAGTGGCAGTAACAGCAGTAGCAGTAGAAAAAAGTAGTAGTAGTAGTAGTAGCAGCAGCAGCAGTAGCAGTAGCAGTAGCAGTAGCAGTAGCAGTAGCAGTGGCAGTAGTAGTAGTAGGAGGAGGAGGAGGACAAGGAGAAGGAGGAGGAGGGGGACTAGAAGCATCAGCAGAAGTAGAATTAGGAGCAGCGCGAAACAGCCTGGGGTGGATTTCGCAAATCATATCGTTGGCATCCTGCGTTGGCAGATGCCATTGCGCCCTGGGCCATGAAGAATTAAGAACTCCACAGGCCAAGCCCGAGGTCCAAAATTTGTCATGCTGTGGTTTCAACAAGGTGAACCTCTGCAGCCTGTGCCGAGCCGCAAGACGTCGTCCATGTCTTCGACCTCCACCGTGGAGTGGGTAGACAATTCGGCAGCTGATGTGCTTGGGCAGCAGCTACACCTTCGGTCTTTCACCACATCGTCTGTCATCACCATCTTCATCGTCACCAACAGCAGAGTCGCCATCTTCTCCTTGCTAACAGGCTCCTTGGTTCCTCGAAGCTGAGGGTGTGCTTTGGGCCGTTATTTCTCTTCCAACTCCGGGACTCTGAGCTCCCAGGCCTGCATGAGCTGCCATGCGCGATTCGGCGTGATGCAGCTTCGGCGGAAGCATCACTGCCGGAGGTGTGGGCAGGTGGGGAGCGGGTCGCGTGTTGGGTCCTTGCCAAATACCGTATTTATAAGTCCTTCGAGCCTGGTACGGTGTAGGATGCCCTTGGCATTTCAACGGATACACATCCAGAGCTACCATCTGAAAGCCACAAGACAAGGCATGACACCGATTATAAATACAATTACACACACACACATATATATATATACACACACACATCTATCTCTCTCTCTCTCTATATATATATATATATATGTATACATACGTAAATACGTATACATTTTGTGTGTGTGTGCTTGCAAACACAAAGTATACATGCTCATGTTCACACTTGGCATATTTGCAGCTGGCGGTGTGATGATCGGTGGTATTGGCACATGCCTTCGCTGTGCAACTCTGTCTGTCTGTCTACAGATCCATTGCCCCTTCGTAATTCTATTTATTGATAAAAGGTGTCTCTCTTGCCTTCTTCTCTCTGCCTCCCTTCGTAAAAATGCCTATTGATGTCTTCAAGTTAATGCTACGGCTACGGCTCTAGGACTCTAAGGGCACTTCCAGAAGAGGTCGTGTGCCGGGCATGCTCGAGTGCAAGGGAGATCGTGCCCGAGTACCATCCCATCAAGCCTCAGCGTGCCACTTGGCAGGCAGACAAGGCTAATCATACAGTGAGGAGCACAGAGCATGGCTTTCTTGAGATGTGGCCGCGTCAAAAAGGGCCTGGGTTCACACCAAAATTGCACCTGTCGACACTGGGAAGCTGTCTGAGGAAAGTTCTCGAATCGACAACCCAACGCAATGTCATGAACTATAAAGATAGAGCGCACTGGCCCCAACTGAAACCATTGCATTCTCATCATTACCAGCATCAAAGCATTCATCCTCATCCACACAGCCCTGATCATTATCACGATCATTTTGCTTCAGCAGCATCATCCTCATCGTCATTTTCGCCAGCAAGATCAATGCTCCTCGCCATCATCAGCATCACCACCACCCCCACCAGCACTACCACGACCGTCATCGTCACCATCACTGCCATAAGCATCACCAATATTACCATCATGATCGTCGTAGTAGCCATCATCATCATCATCATCATCCTCATGATCTTCATCTTCATCTTCATCGCCGCCGCCACCACCATCACCAGCATCATCCCACTGGTCGTCCTTCAAATCCTGGTCACATCATCTTAGCCACCAGTCGATTTATGCTCATCATGCAGCGTGGACAAATGCGTCTGACGCCCTAGGCTCCGAACAGGCACAATCCACAACACCGCAATGGCAGTTGCCCCCAAGGCCGTCCCAACCCGTCAGCAGGCATCGGCCCCCATGTTCAGCCCAAACCCTGAGCCCCCAAAGGACCACTGAAACAAATGTTACTTTCAAAAAGTGATAATCAAACTTAACTCTCCAGCCTTCAGCCCTGAACCTCCTGTTTGTCTCAACCAGGAATCCGACAAACCCCCAAGCCCTCAGTGCCCAAACCCCTGAACCCTGATATCCACAAGCCCAAGAAGACCCTGAACCCCAAAACCGTCAAACCTTATCACCTCAAAAACCACCATAAACCCTCAACGCCACATATCAACCCCAAAACCCCCGAATCCTATCATCCCAAATCCCAGTCAGAGGTTTGCGTTGCTTGCGTCTCAAACCGAGCGGAGACTCAGGAGTCCGAGGAGGTACCGCTGCGACGGTTTAGGGCTTAGGGCTTAGGGTTTAGGGTTTATAGGGCTTAGGGTTTAGGGTTTAGGGCTCAGGGTTGTACGACTATTTTGCAATACTAGTTACTAGATTATGGTAGTATATTACGATATACTGGCCTGATATAGTGTATTGTCCGACTAACATGTTTTACTTATACCTTAATTATACGATTGTACTTTGTCTTTTATTGAACGATTAAGCCGTATTGTTGTTTTAATCTTGTTTTACATGTTATGTTTGAGGCATGTAAGGTGCCCCCCGCCCCCCCCCGCCCAGAATCCTCTTTCGCCTGCAGGCTGCGGAGAGCGTCGTGACCGCAGTGAGGTCCGGAAAGAGGGGAACCCGCCCAGTACGCTGGGAGCTTGGAGGGTTCAGGGCTTCATGCGACTTAGGGTGTTGCGTTTACAATTAGCTACGACTGAGTGACAATCAGTGTCATCATTGCTGCGTGGATGAGGACGTGCATGTCTTTGCCGTCGTGCGAGGATGAAGAGGAGGCTGGGGATGACGGGTGAGGAGGAGGAGGACGATGGGAAGGATGATGACGATGACGAGGACAATGAGACGGTGATGAGAATGGTGATGACGGCTGTTGTAATGCCGTCTTGCTATAAGACACCAGGTTTATGTGTATGACCATAACCATCGCGATATTGCTGCTGGTGGGCGCGGTGATGGGATTTCTGGACAATTCACGATTTCGATGCTACTTCTGGAAGGTCTTCTTCTGCCATCGTTGATTTTCGTGTGACTGCAACACAACCCTGGCCAGAAAGCCCTGCAAGTGGGGTCATTCGCTTCGTTGTTGTTCCGAGCTGCACCTGCAAAAAGCACGACACTCCAGATCCCAAGACAACCAAACATGTGTGCAAAGCTCATCCTCCGAAGAAATCATCAGCTTTTTTCGGAACCTTCTGGAGGCTCAACCTAGAGGCCTCTGTAGCACCTGAGGCGTCAACGCCCTGGGCGGAATGGCACTCCCATCATATGACGACAAGAAGCACGAGTTCGGCACCCTTAGGGCCTCGTGGCAGAGTGTCAGATCGAGGGTAACTTCTCCCAAAGGCGTCTTAAAGGGCTTGGGTGGGACGGACGGTTTAGCTTTGTGTGTTTGGTTTGTTTTGTGTGTGAGTATGTATGTACTGGTATTTAATGTAAGGTCGTAATGTCATGTAATGTAATGTAATGGAGTGTAATGTAATGTATGTGTGGTGTGGTGAGGTGTGGTGTGGTATGGTATGGCATGGTATGGTATGGCATGGTATGGTATGGTATGGTATTATGTATGTACTTTACTTTATAGATGTATGTGTGTATATATATATATATAGAGAGAGAGAGAGTGAGAGAGAGGAACTCTACAGGCATATACTACCAATCACTCAGACGCCCCATATTTCATTGTTCTTCAGCACAGGCCTTGGTCCCAGAGGATTTCCATTGCTATAGTTGTACTGCTTTGAAGGAAGCCACGCTTTGAAGTGGAGTGAAGCAATGGTTTAGGGTTTTGGGGCAGGATCCGAGAGGGAGCAGCTTGTGCTCTCGCGAGGGAAGAGAGGGGCGGGAAGACTAAGAGTGTCATGTGGGGCAGAAGCGGGACCAGAAGCCTACTCCCTCAAGAACAGCCCTTGGGCTGCCCCAAAGTTATGACTCTTGCTGTCGTTAATCAAGATCACGAAGTGCAGCAGCAGCATTGGTAATTAGTCATGGCGCTGGTGGTGGTGGCGGCGGTGCCAGTAGTCGCAGGATATAACGCTCTGTAATGACCCAAGCCCCAAACCCCCGTTGTCTACAAGAGGCTGCATAAACCCTGAAGCCCAAACCCGAAGCCCTTCAACCCTAAACAACCCTTCAGCCCGAAACCCCTACACCCAAAACCCGAATACGTACAGAAGCCCTTTTTTTTTGAGCCCTCGAGCAGATCAGGTGCGGATTATCGAGGCAAAGGGCCTCCTTGCTGCGGACTATGGGCTCATGAACAAGAGCCAAGGGCTCAGTATGTCTGGGGTTTAAAAAGGGGGATAGGGCTTTAGAGTTGACGGGTTTAGGTGTTCAGGGACCTGAGCACCGAGTCTGATACATCAGAAACGCTAGAAGATCGGCAGAAAGGGATATGAAGCAGTGGGGAGCACTTTCGGAGTGCAGGCCGATCTGGGTTTGAGGGTTCTAGACGCCAGACGTTGTGTAAAGAGGCTTCAGGTATCGGGTGCCATTGCCGAAGCAGAGCCTCTTGCAGTGCGAGCCCCCAAGCCTTTGCTTGGAATCTGCTTTGGAGGTCCCACTTTAGAGTCATGCTTCAGGTGCCTGCTGGTTGAAGGCGCCGGGCTACGGTCGGAGTTCCACCACAACCCTGAACCCGAAGCCCCAAGCACTTGCTGCGTTTGCATATCAACAAGAATCCCAGTAGACATGCAACGAACCCTGGGTTCTGAGCCCTAAACCCCCATGACCCTGAAATCCCATAGACACTACCGAAGGCTCAGACCCCTACTGTCTCGTCAATGCCGGCCACAGCGTGCAGGTCGATCCCTCAGAAGACGCCAGGGAGTTGATTTTTTTGGAGTTCCCAGGTAAGGGCTGTTGTAGGGGTTCTGTTACGGCTTCTGTTGAGGCTTCTACGAGGGCACATGAGTTTAGGATGGGGATTATAGGTTCATAAGGGTTCTGGCGGGCTTTCCCATGCGCTATCCTCACGAGAGCTGCAGGTCGCAAAAAAAAAAAACATAATCCATAAGATGCCGTAATAGGCCATAGCATGCAGTAAACTACTGCAATGATGGCGGCAGCAGCAATTGCGAGGTTTATGGCGGGTCCTCTGAAGTCATGTCGCCTCTTTGCAGAGCTTCTGATATACTGATGAATCATCATCGTACACAATCTGGCAGTCCAGCTAGTTTTAATGGATTAGGAAATAGTTTTGTATGTTACAGTATATTGTGTATAGTCTTTTGGATTACATCACAATACATGATATAGTGGATTACAGTAATTTACAGTATCTTGCAGTATACCATAGCGCATTGTAGTACATCAGAGTATTCTTATAGCATTCTATAGTTCAGTAGTATACTATGATTGTCGTGAAAGTCTAGTAGTCTTTATCCTTAGATTAAGCCTACGACTACGACTGCAGCGAGCTAGAGGTGAGAACGCACACAGTCTCGGCAACCCTTGAGCCACGTGCCGGCCCCAGCAGCACTGGAGGTGGTATTTGGTGGCCGGGGGGAGGGCGTCAGGGTTTAGGGTTTTCCGTTTTTAGGTCTAAGGCCTTCGGATTTGAGGGTTTGTCATGCTCGCAATATAAGCACTACGGAAAGATCATGGAATGCGAAAAAAACCGTGAGCCATGCCTCGCTATGTTGCAGTGTAGATCAAGTTTCTGGGAAGTTCAAGCTTATGTAGAAGTGGGGAAGGAGGACGACAATTTTTTTGAGGGGGGAGTCAAGAGGGTTTCAACTTCATTGTGTTTAAAACCTGAAAGACATGTTCATCCTCGGCTAGCTTGCAGAGTTTGTTCGACTTTGACATCCACACTAGCAAAACTTATTTTGCCATAAGGTTGTAGCACGTGCTTGCACTTGCTTACGTGTTAGGGCTGGCTGTCTGGGCAGCGATTTTTTCGCGGATTTCTTTGCAAGGCCCTGCAGGTGGGTCTCGCGGACGATCTTTCGAATATTCTCCGGATTTTGCCGCGGATTTTCTTAAGATTCTATCTGCGTGCACCACCGGGCCAACAATCCCGCGTGTCAAACCATTAAGACAAATCCGCGCAAACCTTGCCCAGAGAGTCAGTACCAACGCGTGCCCAACTAGAGCTGGTCTTCTGCTTTATTGCTCCGTAGGCCTGTATACTTTGGGCACAATGCGATAGAGTCCTGAAATGTGAAGCGTGAATGCCTCAAAGCCCGATGCCGGAAGACGATGGCTTGGGTTAGGGCATGCCTCGAAGTGCTACCAACCCTAAACCCTAGAAGCCCTACGTATACGCCCTAAACTGACCCCAAGACATATCAGCCCTATAGCCCTAAAACAAAAACCCAACAGCATCAACCCTATTCCCCAAAAGCCCGAAATACTACCAGCCCTAAACCCTGGAAGCCGTAAATTCTACATATCAGCCCTAATCCCACCCCAGAACCCCCCCTATAATCCTAGAGGCTGGGACACGACGCTCTCCTTCCGCCTTTCCCGGCCCGACGATGTTCTGCACCTCGAGGCTCCGAAAGTCTGTGGGCGTTTCTTTCTTTCGGGAACTTCCGGGCCGCGAGGTTTTGGGTTGCCATAGGCTTAGGGTTTTCGGGTCTAGGGGTTGAGGGGTTGGGGGTTTAGGGTGTAGTCTGCGTGTAGGGTCGCGGCTTCAGGGTCTAGGTAGTCCTGGGGCCCACTCTAGGGCGTGACTTCCCCTCAACCCACGAATCGACCCCCCGCCCATATAAGCCATGAAGACTTGAGATCTTGGAACCTGAAGGTAGGTGGGTCGCTCC